TGTTCATCTCGAAACTATAACATGTAACTCTAATTGTTAACAACAAAATAAGTGCTCTACGGGCTTACACCTTTCCAAGTTATCACTTGGTTACAACAAAAGAAGAGTCTTAGCTCTATACATGTAAAGCCCTCGGTTTGAATTTACATTAAACACAGAACACAATATGCAAAATGGAGCCTTCAACCCCTAAACCTCCCAAGCTATGTCCTTGGAGGCGGCATGTCACCTATACCTGAAAATAGTTTCCCAAGTAGGGTGGGCCAAAGCCCAGTAGAGATATACTAACACAGTGTATGAAATTTAACTAAGATATAGGCATTAGATAAATGTTCAATACTTAAAACCAACTGACATCTTTCATGACCAATCAATTATGACATCAAAGCCCCATTCCATTTCCATTCATTCATTTCAAGTCAATACAAAAGTATAGTCCTTTATTTTCAAAACAATCCCAAATGAGACTACAACTCATTAATTAACAAGGCAATTCATTCATTATTTAAACACTTCAAACTTCCTGCCATTTTACGGAATTCTCATCCGAGGGAACCGGCACCCATACATATATATAAGATTTCGGGACTTTCACCTTGAACACTTCGGCCAACTTAGTTATCAATGGAGTACATCTCCTATCTCCTCCCAAACAATAGAGTACATCCCCTATCTCTTCCCAAACAAAGATACATATACAATGTATTTAAGAGCATGTCATATACAATGACTACCAAAATCCACACATTCAACAATTCAATCAAACCGTCATGTTCAATGACATAATTCATATGACTAGTTTCAATTTACCTAGTCCTCATGCAGCTTCTACAACAATCACAGTTATCCTCTACCGATAACCCAAAACAGATATTTCTAAACAGATAAACAAATTTATCAAACAAATAATTTATTAAATTTCCATAGGCGAGTGATTTAACAAATCCAACTACACCATTCATTCATATACCCTTCCAATTTCACATTTTCTATACCAATTTCATTATATAAACAAGATAAATTATTCACCCCAAAATAGGGCAAATTTTCCATTTTCACAAATGTAAATCACAAGTCTAAATTTCATCACTTTGACTCATATAATCCCATCTTCAACATCCTACATATATTTCCATGGCCCAAATAGAAAACCCTCTTTCAACTCTATACTCAAACCCTAGCTTACCCAAATCACTCCCAAATTCCACCATTTATACATAACATCAAATACCTAGGTTAAAAGCCATAATAAAGTGTAGAACATCCCTACCTCAAGTATAGAAGCTCAAAGGAGAAGAAGGAAGAAACTTTGAAGGTGACCAAGCTCCACCTTTTTCGGATCAAATAGAAGCCAACGCAATACTCTATCTTTTTAACAAAAGGAGTAAGGTAGGAAGACCTTAGATCATGGGGTATTTGTAGTGAGAGAGGAGGTGTCGGATTAGGGTTCGGAGAACAAATGAAATCAAAAAGTGATGTAAAAATCCTCTGTTGCGAACTGATATATGCAAAGCTCGCTCGAGCGAAGGACTTGTCGCTCGAGCGACCAGATACAACAAGTGACCTCGCTCGAGCGCAAGAAGTGTCGCTCGAGCACAGAATGCAAAGCTTCAGGTCTTCCATAGACGTAGACGCACGTTCAAGCGCAAGAAGTCTCGCTCGAGCGTAAGAAGCCTCGCTCGTGCGAAGAACTTACATCTTCCCAGAAAAGCTGCATCTGGGAAAGAAACCTGAAGACCCTCAATCCTCGCTCGAGTGCAAGAAACCTTGCTCGAGAAAAGAAGCAAACTACTCAAGGCTCGCTCGAGGGCAAAAAGCCTCGCTTGAGCGAAGAGACCAAAATCTGGGCAACAACCATTTGAACCAACCAACAACCAACCTGTTCCAAACTCGCCCAACAAGTTCCAAAACTCAAATTCAAAGAATTAAAGGGA